TGGCCCTCCTGGCTGCCAGGGCACTGCTGACTCATATTCCACTTGCCATCAACCAGGACCCCAAGGTCCCCTTCTGCAACATTGCTCTCCAGCCTCTCATTCCCTAGTCTATACACACAACCAGGGTTGCCCCGTCCCAGATGCAGAATCTGGCACTTGCTCATGTTAAACTTCATACAGTTTGTGATTTGCCACCCCTCTAATTAGCAGATAGCCAAAGCTGTCTCTAATGTCTTCCATTTGCTTTTGAGGGAAAAAACCACCCAAACAACAACAACAAAACAAACAAAAAAAACCCACCCCAAAACAGCCACAACAAAACTGCTTCCTTGAACTTCCTTTGGTTTGCCAAAGGAAAGAGAAATATTTCTGGTTTATTTCTCAGCATGCAGTATTTAGTTGAGAGGAAGAATTTGAAAGTGAGCACAGTGAACACAAACCTGAACAGAACTAGTAATTTTGAATAGCACAGAACTGGGTTTTACGTCCTAGACTCAATGTCAGAAAAACTGTGGGTTTTAACATTTGAAGAACTTTGGTCACTATTGTAGTATGGATCAGGCCCATCTTGTTATTAACTCTCATTTCTCTCTGTTTACATACCTGAGTCTACACACTTTCAACATATATGTAACTCACCCTGGTATGAGAAATTTTGATTTATAATTTATTCATCCGTATATTCCTAGCATGAATGGATTGTTCTGCAAACTGTGAGCAGCCAATTCCTCAGTCTGTAAGAACATCTGGGGTTGCCCCATCCCAGGTGCAGAATCCAGCACTTTCCCTTTTTGAACTTCATATGCTTGGTGATTGCCCAGTCCTGTAATTTGCCAAGGTGTCTCTGCAGGGCCTCCCTGCCTTTGAGGGAGTGAACACTCCTTCGAGTTTTGTGTCATCTGCAAACTTGCATGGTATCCTTTCCAGTCCTGCATCCAAGTCATTTATGAAGGTGTTGAAGAGCCAGGCAGAATGGTGACATTAGGCACCATTGTGGCTAAACACTGCCTTATTGTTCCATTTTCTTACCCTGCTGTTTATGAATGTTGGAGATCACACTGGCTTTCTTCAATCAGGACAAGATTCTTCTGATTTAATGAAGACATCTGCATCTGTGATGAGGATGCCTCCTTGTTTTGAGGTCCAGTACTATGGGGAGAAACAGGCATTTCTGTGTCAATTTTACTCTTAATAATGCAAATGATTCATGGGTGAGGTGAATCATACTGAAAAATATTTTTTTTTTCTCTCTGTGGCTACAAGACCCTCACATTAGCTCATCATACAATGTAGCTATCCAAATTTAGAATATGCAGATAATGGCATATAAAAACAAATGAAAGAGAATACTCTTTTATGGCATGATTTGTAACTTGGCATTAGGGGGATGAACAGATCTAAAGCAGCCTGGCCTAAAAGGACTTGAGGGTGCTGGTGGATTAGAAGCTCGATATAAGCTGGCAATGTGCACTCAGAGCCCAGAAAACCAATCATGTCCTGGGCTGCATCAAAAGCGGCATCACCAGCAGGTCCAGGGGGTGATTCTGCCCCTCTACTCTGCTCTGGTGAGACCCCACCTGGAGTACTGCATCCAGGTCTGGAGTCCCCAGCAGAGGAAGGACATTGGTCTGCTGTAGCGAGTCCAGAGGAGGGCTTCCAAGATGATGAGAGGGATGGAGCACCTCTCCTACAGGGACAGGCTGTACCAGCTGGTGTTACCCAGGTTGTTTTGTAAATCGTGAGCACTCTACTTGTGCAGTAATTTACATATGAAAATTAATTTATTTGAGTCTCTCAATTATTTTTAAATGCTGGACCAGCTCCACAGGTGCAATAGCTTCTCTCTTTTTCTTTCTCCCATTTTTGTTTTTATTTTATTTTATTAATTTATTTTTTCTCCTTCTGGACACAATCACAAAGCCCTGTCATGTCAGGTGTGCATGAATATTTATAGTATTGCTTTATCTTGACTTTCCAGACAAGGACTTTTTTTCTGCTTAGCAAGAAAGTTTAGGTTTCAAGTACAGCTTGCAGGTATCCTCAGCAGTGGCACTGGTGAGTTCTGCCTCTGTGCCTGTCTACTTGCACCTGCTATAGAAGGAAGCACCTTCTCACTCAATCCTGTTACAAAATCCTTTCACCTGACAAATTAAGACTTCAGCTGCATTCCACTCAGCTGAGCTGTCATGCATTTATTCAACCCACAGACTTGGATCTAACTTCAACTACTCACTCACCCTGCAACAAAAGCTTCCCTGGGGGCAGGCTCAGAGTAGTGCCTCTGCACAGGCAGTTAGGAGCCCTCTGGATGGGCTACCTGCTCCAGTGCTTGGCAAACATTTCAGAGAAGAATTTTTCATAATATCTAATCTAAACCTCCCCTGGCACAACTTGAGACCATTTCCTCTCATCATATCGCTTGATACTTGGTGGAAGAAACCAACCCCCACCTTGCTACAGCCTCCTGTAATGTAGTTGTAGAGAGTGATAAGCTCTCCCCTGAGCCTCCCCTTCTCCAGGCTAATCGACCCCAGCTTCCCCAGCAGCTCCTCATAAGACTTGTACTCCAGTCCCCTCACCAGCTTTGTTGCCTGTCTCTGGAGATGCTCCACCACCTCAATGTCTTTCTTGTCATGAGGGGCCCAAAACTGAACACAGGATTCAGGGTGAGGCCTCATCAGTGCTGCAGAAAAAAAACAGTTTCTCAGAGAAACCCCAAGGTTTCTCAAAGCACTCACATGGGGCTCTCTGGGACTCCCATGATCTCCCACAGCATGTATGTGTCACTGCCTTTCTATGCCTTTCTTGAGAAACACACACCAAGAATGTAATACAGAATATACCTTCCTCCAAATGTTAACTTCCTACTCTTCTGGAATTTTAGGCTATGCTTTTTTCCATTCCATATTAAAATCTAACTAAATATTTCACTTTTAACAGCTTCAATCCCAAGAGAATAAGAAGTGTGTGGGTCCTAGAAATTAAAGGCATCTGCATTCTTCTACCGGTAATATTCATATCGGACTGTTTTTCTTAAACTTAAAAAATACAAACTTACCTTTCAGAACATATTGAAAATGTTGCCATAAAAACAGCTTTCATAAATGCTTTTGTATGCTGTGTTCATTTGTTTGACCTGTTAGTACAATGACTAACAGTATGGTTTTGTATCACTAACCAATTTCAATCTAGCTTGAATACAGAGCCATTAAAATTCTCTCTGTACAGACACTAAAGATAGACTGGAATCTTCAAAGGATGTTTCATCTCATCCTAGAATAGCAGTATAGGACAGCTGGACTGCCCTCACTGTGACTGTCTTTCACTATTGATCATAAAGAGAGTCTGGATGATGCAAATCTGTACTACTTGGTCCAGGATGACAGGTAAGGCTCTGCAAGTGCTCCTGGGCGTCTGGGCCTTGAAGACCTGGTGTAAATCAGAGCTCCGGGAAATAACACAAAACCATCATTGTGTGATGACTTTTAGAAAGGTGGAGTGTGGATCAACTGTTCTCTGAAACAACAAATATAAGGTAGTAGTCGCTAGAGGGAGCCTCTTAATCATCATATCTTACATCAAACCATACTAACTTGGGCCTTCGGCTCTTAGTTATCGAAGCACTTTAATACAGTCACGGAGTGTTACTGCCTCAGTGTAAAGTACTCAGTGTAAAGAAAACAAGAGTAAAAAGACAGGACTATGCAAGGCTTCTGCAAAATTCGACATTCATTCCGCATTCTGAACAAATACAAACTTTCTAAAGATTTCCCCACAGAAAATCAGCAAAGTCAGTTCAGTGGATGGGAACAGAATTAGTTTTGCCAAGACGTTTTAAAGATGCCATCTTTAAGTGGCACTAGTGAGAAAGCATCCACCTTTCCCTCCTTCAAACACCAAAACGGGCACAACTTGTCACTTTGAGAGGAAAGTCCTTGGGCCACCAGCGCTACCCTCTCTTTTTTACCTTCATTACACTAGAGGTGTGCCCGGGTGGTAATTCCCAGATTTCCAGCCCAACTTCAACAAGCGCTAGTTAGAGCAGCAATCTGGTCCAGCTCTCTCTGTGTTGGAAGATGGCTGTCTACAAAATAACAGTGCAGTGTAACTGCAGACATGCTTTCAATTTTCTACTGTACTCTAAATTTAGTAAATAACATAGCAGTTATAGTTTGTGGTTCTCTGTTACAAGTTCTATAGAATTTGCAAGAAGTCCTGGAAAAAACACAACAAGAATATGGAAGCTGTGGAGATAGTCTCATTTGCAAGAGGACCTCTCTCATTTAGCAGAGTCCTGATGGAATTGACTGCAGTCTGAACAGAAAAAAACATAAGCACCTCAGAAGGTGTTTCTTTTTAGAAAATATACAGCAGTATAGGGCATCAGAAAACAAGAAATCCTATAGACTTTAATGAATCCCTGAAGTGCTAGTGGCACAATGAGGGGAGTGGGAATTAGAGAGGTACAGACTGGGATGCTGTAACACAGGTGGGGATAAGAAAGCAAGCACTGAGAGAAGAAAAATTGGACACATCACTTCTTCTGTGTGTGTTGTCTGTAACCACTTCAGCATGCAAATGTTAGGGTGGGAGGGAGCAGGGAGGGGATCACCTATGGTGCTGTAATTTGCCTCAGAGGTGATCCACTAGCAAACCAACCTGAGCATTGCAACTGGTAATGAACCATCAACTCGTAATAACATCACCCTTCTCTTTTAAGATATGAAAACACAGGAAATTCTGTCAATAAAGCAAGATTGCTGTTTAGTTCTGCCTCATGCTGTCCCAAAACACTCAGTACAGCAGAACTCAAACAAGAAAAATCAAAACAGCAAGCATTAGCCAGCATGTAACCTGAATTTGTCCCTTTAAGTGATGACAAGAAAACAGGCAGCACTCAGAAGTGAAGCTGAATGACTCATTTTCTGGAAAAGCAAATTCAAGTCTCTTACTGGCATTTCCTCCCCGCCCTAGAACTATTTCTTACTGCGTGTGCAGAGACAACCTTGCCACTGCTGCAAGCACTGAGGACTGCCATAAAGTGAAGAAATTAGCTCAATTTCTATTTCTACAGACAAAGAATTGCTGCTCTGTAAGTACAGCGATTTTCTCTGGTGGAAGTGAGGAAAAGTTATTTATAATGCCTTTTATGGGAGTGTCTCAGACTTGAAGCAGATCATTCTCATCCCTTGAGAAACTGGTGGTTGGGCAGAAAGCATTTTAGCTGCATTTGTGGTGTTCCCCAGCCCGACCTTCCCACACTGTATGAATGTCAGAGCTATGCAAACAGCAGTGGGACATGCAGCTTCAGGGACTTCAGGATAAGCTAGAACATCCAGCTGCTTGCAAGTTCTGGTATAACACGCTTTTCCTGTAGTGAACTGTAGGACGTGCAACTACGGCAGATTTCAGGACTGTCTCCAGAAACAGTTACTAGACGCTGTGCCATAGCAGCAGTCCTTGTGCTGAAAAAATTTTGAATGGTTTTAAGTCAACTGAAAACAAGCTCATGCACCAGTCTATCAACTGCCTGCTTTGAACATAACTTGACCAGGTACTGTATTCCTCCCTTACTATGTTGGAAAATGCACAGGAAAATTTTAATGGGTGTTTGGAAACATTTTTTCTTGCTCCTGCAGATAAAAATATCTCAAGGAAGTTTTTAAAATATCCTTTTTCCCTTTACAACAACATTATTCTCATAGAAACATACGTACAAAGTGAGAGCTGCAGACAATTTGTTATCATGAGTCTGACTTTTATCTATCCCAAGTCTTCAAAATACGAATTTTTCAAAGAAAGTTTCCCAGAGTGAACAGTACTGAATTGAGCGGTATTAACTGTATGACTTTTTGCTGAGTGTTGCCAAACTGATGCCGCAAATGGGTACTCTGTGTATCTGAGTACATCTAAAAATATGAATGTTTTCTCTTATGCAGACTGGCTTGACTTGGGATTTCAGTATCTTGTAAGTATTTTGATGAAAAGGTAAATACTTATTTGAATTTTATTGCTTTGAATCAATACAGGAAACAATAATTAAATATGAAAGATATGCAAGCTAAACTCCCCCCTTCTCCCGCCCTTCCCCCTCCCCATTCTGAGATTATTAAAATGGATGAAGAAGGGCATAAAATCTAAATTATTTTGGGGGAGGGATTAATGATGGGAAAGGGAGAAAAAAGTTTTGCTTTAACCCAAATTCAGTTCAGGTAAGAGAGAGGACTGTTTGCTTGCAGCACGGCTTCAGTGGCGCTTTGGCAAAAGTGGTTCCATAGAGGTCTCCAAAAATGCATCCTCTGAACTGTTTGCTGCTGCCCCAGCTGCCAGGGGCCAAGCAGGAAGCCGCACAGCTGTGTGTGCAGGGACCTGGGCTCCCTTTGATTGTTCAGAATGGGGAAAGCTGCTTTCACCGTCTGTCTTGCTCCCATCAGAGCTGCTAAAGTTTCTCTGCCTGGACTCCCGCCACCTTTCAGTAAGAAATGGCTTGACAGGGGTAATACCAGCCAGTGCAGTAACTGGTTTTGGTATTACCTGCTGTTTTACAGGCAGCTTCTAAGGAAGCTCAACCTTGAGCTCCAGGCTGTGCTTTAAATCAATGTCTCTCTAGTGTGAAGTGCAAGCAGTTAGTGACAACCAATTGCACAGTTAAATCTGATTATTTCCAACTCCCTTTTTATTTCAACTGCTTTGGAGGCACATAGTATTTAAATGTAAAAGATGGTTGAGGTATTCTCCAGCACTTTTCCTATATCTACTTAGGATGCAGCAAAGGCACAAACTCAAATGCAGGAAACTGAGTGTCTGTACATAGCAATGCTGTACCAGCACTGGTAAGTAAGTGTTTGGATGCCAATTTTCTAAGCATAGAAGTTTAAATTTTCCCTTCAAAGCTTGTAGTGTTGATGGATAAAATGTAAGGACTATAGATATTAACTAAGCTGCTTAATACCTCATTTCTGGAAAACAAAATATGAAACCAACATAATTTATAAAATTGAGATGCTTGGGACAGATCAGCTAGACATGGGATAAATTTGAAAGGAGTCTATTTTAAAGCTTCTGAACCAAGTTCACTTGGCCTTTATTTCAAAGCCTTTAAATAGTTTGTCTTGTCCTGGCACGGAAAGGAAAAGCCCCAGAGAAACCTGTGCATTCTCAGAGTAAAAAAACAAGAGGACAAAAAGTCTTCTAAGAAAATATTATTGGAAAAAGATTACTAGAATTTCTACAACTACAAATACCTCTTATAAACCTGAAAGTAAACTTGGCACATTATGTAAAGGAGCAGCAGGTTGCTACTTTCTCTATGATCACAGAAAAATAAATTACATTGATCGGATTTTAAAGAGCTCTTCTTTTCCTTTCTGAACACTAAATATTTTTCATACAGCTGAGTCATGTAAGAAAAGAGAATTATTTTGCTGTTTTAAGATAAACTTCTCTACACAAAAAGAAAAATTCCTCTAAGAAGTGAAGAAGTGATAGCAAGAAAAATAACATTAATGCCTTTACTCTTCTTCATTTAGGGTCTGATCTGAGGTGCACTGCAGTAAATAAAACAGAATGTTAGCAGGCTTTGATATTGCTGCTGGTGTTGGATTTTTATTGCAGTGACTACTAGGAAGATGTAAATATGACAAGGTACTCTTGGTTTTGCAGGATCTGAACACTCCAAATGCAGAAATGATTTGGCAACTAGCATCTTATTGGTAAGAAAAAAATCATGAGTTATTGTTATATCATACTTAGATCTCAGTGAAGCTTAATAATGATATAGTACTCTGTTATAAAAGAGTAGCATTGTTTATCCATAAAGTACACTAAAAATGTGGGGTTTGTTTGTTTATTTGTCTTGATATTAATTTTTGCAAAACCCAAAGGTACCAGTCTGGTCAAAAATGATGTCAGAGGAAGTTGATCCCATTCTCAGTTTCCCAGACCAACTTCTAATAAACATCCCAAGCCACTGAAGCACAATCACTTGTATGTCACGTGCTACATGTAAATTCCCACAAGAGACTGCTCACAGGAAACTTGGAAACAATCAGAAAAGGAGATTTTAAAGTTATGGACCTGACATTTTCCTTTTCATTACATCTGTTTGGGTCAATGATAAACATGTAGCACACCCTCTGTGTCTGGACAGAGTGGTCTGGTCTGCAGCCAAGCTTACACTGGAGGGTCTTTGGCCACGTGTGGGGGGCATGATGAATGGCCAGGTCATTGGCTTCTTTCCTTCTTCTGTGTTTCAGGTCACCCCTGATTTTTGGTCTGCTTCTGCAGCCACCAGTCACACAGCTTTCCATCATCACACGGCCAAACATTGTTCTATTGATGGCTGATGACCTCGGCATAGGGGATGTAGGTTGCTATGGGAATGATACTATCAGGTAAGGAAACTGAGTGTAAGGGTGAACAGAGCTGGTGTGATATTTAATGTAAATCTGAAATCTTCTGCCTAGGATTACCTCATAGCCTAGAGTGCATTCCCAGGGGCAGCTCTGCTACTGGAGCTGCTTTACTGTGGGAATATGTCAATTGTTCTTGTGTATCCCTTAATTGCCTGACATTGAGAAAGAGCTATACCCAAAGACAGAAATGTTGTCTCCTCTTTTAACATATTATTACCTCACTTTAACTTTATGTTGCCATAATGTTTCCCATTCTTACATCAAAGTACAGTTAAATCACTGCAATGAGCTATGTTACTAGGAAATACTTCTATTTTCAATCTCAAGGACACAGAATTTGCCTTCTTTTTCAAAATTGCGCCACAGTATTGCCTTCTGGCTTTTTACCAGCTTGTCGCTTCTTTGAACAAAATCAAATTTGCTGTGATCACTCCCCTCACCCAGCAAATTTCTCAGAATCTTACTTTAATCAGCTTCAGTTGGCAAGTTTCAGATAGGCAGCTGGCAAATGTAGGTAGCTGATGGGGCTCTGCAACGCTGGGCCTCCAAACCATCATCCCCATGGCATGGATTTTCTTTTCAAGAGCAGTGGGGTACATTTGGGATGTACTAGTGGAGTAACTAAGTATGTGGAGTCTATTAGCAGTTGTCTCTCCACAGTGCTGAGAATCCAGGAGTTCAAAGCAGCATTTTGGGAAGTGGTCCTTTCAGAAGCCATGTTTATCTAGCTGAGATGGCAGCTATGCTAAATGGTGGAACTGTACCAACTGCTCTTCCAAGTTACACTGCATGGTACCTCTGGTGAAAGGCTGTAGGCTGTAGAGAATAAGAAACCTTGTTGCAGATGTTGTTTCCTGGCAGTGTGTCTTTAAGGGAGGAATCCATAACAGTATCAGAACAAAGCAACAAAACATCCACGATCTTTTGAAACCCTACTGAGGATTTTGTCTACATGTGAACACCATTGAACTGCTAATTGCAAAAGCAAAATTTTGAAACTGAAGTTGAATCTAATTTAAAGCAGAAATAGGCATACCTTACATTGGAAAAGGAGATACTGTATTCTGAAATGTAAGATATTCTCTTGTCTGTAACTAGTGTGCTAGGCAAGCCTGGTTTTGCTTGTTGTCAGTTGTCTACAAAATACCCTTCTCTCATCTACACTTAATTCATGTTGCCACAAGAGATTGCCGCTACAGCGTGAAAACATGCAGGATTTCTTTCTATTTTTCTCCTTTTCCCTTCATTTCAAATATCAGGAGAAGCATTTTGTTTGCTTTCTTACCTGCACTGTAAGTCACGTAGCATCTTGTGTAGTCAAGCATTGTTACCCTGTGGCAACTAAATTACCATTACACTGTACGCTGATATGCTCCTCTTCAAAAAGCTGGTGTAGGAAATGCTGCTTTTTAAAAATCTGGTGCAGGAAATGCAGCTTTGGAGGGATGAAAGGTCTATGCATGTTTCATGCAAGTTACGGAGCTTCCTGAGGCAGAGAGAAAAAGCACAGGTCCAACAGAGAAACAGCTCTCCTCGTTCCCGTGGGATTGATTATCTGTTAATTCAGCCTCAACCCTGGGTAAGAAAAATATAATTTAAAAATATTTTGGAGAATGAAAAGGCTCCAGGGAGACTTTATAGCAGCCATCCAGTACCTAAAGTGGGCCCATAAGAAGCCTTGAGAGGAACTTTTTACAAGGAAATGCAGTGATAGGACAAGGGGGAATGGCTTTAAATTGAAAGAGGGTAAATTTAGATTAGACATTAAAAAGAAATTCTTTACTATGAGAGAGGTGAGGCATTGAAACATGTTGCCCAGAGAAGCTGTTGATCCCTGGAAGTGTTCAAGACCAGGCTGGATGGGGGTCTGAGCACCATGATCTAGTGGAAGGTGTCCCTGCTCATGGCAGATGGCTTGGAACTTGATTATTTTTAAGGTCCCTTCCATCCCAAACCATTCTATAGTTCTATGATTTCTACAAGACTCTTCATAGGACATGGGAAACAAGAAGGAATGGTTGGCTTGAATTAATCCAGATGCTGATGTTAATGTAAAAAGAAAAAAAAGAACTATTTCCCCATCACTTGAGAAAGTTAAAATAAATTTTAAAAAATTATGTCCTGACCATCTTCAAATAGAAGAAACTTCCCAAAATAAAGATAAGTATATAATTCTTTATTCCCTTGAAAAACCCTCTGAATGATATCTGATGGTGCTGGTTGCATTTTTAGGACCCCGAACATTGATCGCCTGGCAAAGGAAGGAGTGAAACTGACCCAACACATTGCTGCGGCTCCACTTTGCACCCCCAGCAGAGCAGCTTTCCTCACTGGCAGATATCCCCTCCGATCAGGTTTGCCTCGCAAAGCCAAGCAGCCTTTAAACATTGCTTTATTACTGTAGAGAACAATGTCATACAGTGGGCACAGAAAAATGTCGCTGGGTATCTGTCGAAAGGCCTTGGTCCTGTGGGGGAAGAAAGACGCGACACACACACTAGGATGAAGAGACACATTAGGATGAAGAGCCAGAGAGATGTCTGCCTGCTCAACGCAGCAGGCAGCTTTTTTTATTCAGTTCTCCCACCTCTACTTTCCCATACACAACACAAACATATTCTTACAACAACATCCAGGAATGCGGCACCTGCACTCAGCCACACAGCTCAAGGCTGTGTCCATGGGAACTATCTAGTTAGCTCCACTGCTCTCACAGAAAATGGCCCAACACTCTGCAACACTCCAAATCCTTCAAACTTCATTTGTGGGGCTGTGACCTCACCCCACAAAAAAAAAAAATGAGGGTGTGCAAATAGAAGGGGTGCCACAGACACATCATCCCTCACTGAGACCCACAAGACACCAGCCAGGCCTAGAACCTTGGAGGTGGCATCTATATTTATGGAGTACATCCAACTGATTGGGGGGAAAGCAGAGAAGAGAAAAAACAGCTCTGCAGAGCATCTTGGTCCCCCCAACTCACAATTTTGGTTGCCTTTTGGTGCTCTATTGTATAAATTGCAGCCAGAATGAAGTTAGAGCAAATCGTTACATTCAAAGAAGTCATTACACAAAACACGAATAACAATAATGACACATTTCTAAAGCACCAGTTATATTAATTTCTGTTGTGGGTGTCTCCTCATCATATGTCAGAAACAGCTCAGCCCTGCAGGGAGCAGAGTAGATCTGTGCAGATGTGTATCCATTCCCTCCAGTCGAGATGCAGAACGAGTCATGTATGGGAAAGCTTCTTTACGAATCTGTCAGAATTAATCCATCCTATGAAATAACAGTTTGACAGCTATATTATTTTTCCCAGTTGTGTTTTTGAAGAAAAAATACTATCCTGTCAAACTGCATCCCTGAGATGAAGAGGTATGAAAAACAAACAGCTCTACATGTTTCTAACAGCATCTCTCAAATGCTTGTTCTATTGCAAATTATCTTCAGAGCCTTCATTCCTGAGGCATTTCGAAGCCGATATGTCATCCTACATTTATCACAACAGCTCCCACTGAGACTGGTAGCTTGAAAATGCATGTGGGTTTGTACAAACCCTCTCCCTCTATAAAAGGACCAGAGATGTTCAACACTGCCAGGAGTGACTGAACTTCACACAACACTGTATGATGGGGTTATGCCAGTATAAAATGCTAAATAATGGGGTGTAAACCTGCAGGTGAAGAGAATACTGCAGTGCTAGGTAACTACTCTGTGGGTCTCAGAAACGGGATACCAGCCATGACACTGTGCAAGGAAATCTTGAGTTCCCAGGTAGCCTTATGTGAGCTGGAGTTTGAGGCTAATAGAGGGCCTAAGTCTCCTTATGCTCTTCCCTGCCCTCACAGTCATACTAAGTAAGTGCATTACATACAGCCTGGATGCCACTTTAACATATAAAAGTTCCTATACAACTGTGTCATTCCTGATGAAAAGAAATGAAATTAAATGAAATAAGATGTCTCAATATGACGTACAAAGAAGAACGGGTATCATAGAGAGGCTTAACTCTTGTTTAATTTTGTCCAGAGTCCTAGATTCATTTTCCCAAACAAACAGCATTAAGATGAACATTTAAGACTGTGATTTCAATGAAATCAGGAAACAACAAAGTGTGTTGGCTAAAAGTACTCTGCCTCTTACACTTACTCAGATTGCTTTATTTTTAGGGATGGATGCTATAAACAATTACCGTGTTATTTTTTGGAATGCTGGCTCAGGAGGCCTTCCTCCAAATGAAACCACTTTTGCCAAAATACTACAGAAGCAAGGCTACAGCACAGGACTGATAGGTATGGAGACACTCCTAAAAATGTTCTAGAACGTGTTTCACCTGCACATCTTACTCGAACCAGTTGTTTTAGTTAGTAATTGCTAATACTTCAGTTGGAATATTTTTATTTCCCAGTTTAAGAATATTACGTAAGAAGAAATCCTGACCAGATAGTATCTTTCTTAAAAGAACAAGCATCTGATAAAGCAGAAAAATTTTACTGGTTGTCAAAATATATAATGAAAAATATGTTAATAATTCCTGAATATTATTATACCAGGTACAAGATGCTTATTTGATGCTATTTCATTAAAAAAAAGGCAAAAATATGAGTGCCATTTAAATATGCATGATGATGTTTTACCCAGTTCAGAGTAGATTCATGGCAAAAGGAAACAGCTGCTACTTAAACCAGTAGAGACAACTTATAGTATCACAGGATTTGGCCTTTTAAAACCAGAAACAAAGTGATTATTTTCTTCTTCAACACAACATGACACTAAGTTCACCACGATTTCAGTACAGCCTGTAAAACATTGCTTTCTTCAGCATTGACGTGAATTTTATTCATATATTGTAGTTCTATCTTTTTAATAGTTGTAACCTTTAGTCATGATCTAGTTTCAAATAATTATTTATCTTAGATATGTCACATAATTCCACAGGCTGATAAAGCACAAACATTCCTGAGCTGAATTTTCAGCCAATTGTCCTACTTCATCTGAGCATCTAAAATGTCAAAACCCAAAATCTACATCTGACACTTAAAAATATTGGCTGTACAAACCAACTGAATGTATTAATAAAAGTTCCTGTAAAAATAGATTTATATTCATTCAACAGAATAAATCTAAACCACACAGGACAAAACTAAAAGAAGCCTTCCATGCCATTTAAATTCTACATTACTAAAGCTCCGTCTCCTGTTAGTTTTGCAGCAATATTATTTTAGTTGTTTTAACCAGCTCATAAAACAGCCCGTGCATGCTTCAGCTTGGTTTCAGCATGTAATCACTAAAAAAACAATCGGATTTCTCTCCACTCTCCCAAGGGAATTGCCCTGCAGGGAGACTCTGCTGCATACTTCCCAGAAGCAAAATGAACTAGCATTTTCCCTGTGGGCATCTCAGCTAAAATCACACTATGGACACCAAAAGCATCACTTAGTTTAACTGGATTGACAGATCCTGATTAATTGCACCGTAGGGGATGGTGGGAAGCATCAGCTGTAAGTGACACACAAAAATCCACAAGAATTTTACATTCAAGTCATGAAGCAAAAAAATCTTAACATCTGTGCATGTCACCACAGCTGAATGAGCACTAAGTAGTCACACCTGAATGGTTTGTGATTGTTTTGCCCTGAGCACAACTAGTTTAATTGCAAATTAAATCCTATTAATAATCTGCAGCTTAAGGTGATAATGAGACTTTTTGTTGGGAAATGCTTTGAAGATATTTTGTAGTCAAAAAGCCAATGTTGCATAACGTATGCCCTCAGAGATTAATTTATCTTAATTATACACTTAGTTTATCTTCTGGAGATTTGAGTCTTTTCTAGCATGTCAGAAGTCTTTATTGACCTTGGCTGGAGATTTAGGTGTTGGAGTGCATTTGGATTTCAAGGATACTTTAGCTGCACCTGTATTCATGACCAATGCATCTACATATTGATTACAAATCTGTTTCGTTCTATAGCTGGCTCTAAATATGTCAAGAAGTAAACTCAGTAGAGATTTTAGCTGAAAGGAATTCATCCACTTAAAATGGAATTCCATTCTTTCTTTATATTTATATCTAAAGAGCAGCATTTTTTTTCCTTCTGAAGTGTTTTTTTCTGCTCCTATTGTGATGCACAGCAATTCTATTGAAACCTACTTAGAGTTCACTGCCAGTATATGTATTGGTAATATCCTAAACAAATGGTTTACTATAACATCCTCTTCTAAGTGCAAAATTCCTGACTCCACAATATGAACTAGTTGCAAATTATTCTTCGAATTCATTTTGGTCTGTAGATCTAGTACCCAAGATCTGCATTACATTAGAGATCATAAAATGCACTTAAACTACATCTCTGTGATGAGAGGTAGATTTTGTTCATTTGATTCAGATATTCACAAACTTCAGTGTTTGAGCCAAATGAGCCTGCTGGCAATGTCCTCATATAGGTGCCTAACCAGTCTGTTTGAATAGGCTGGAGGGGAAGAAAAAGCATGGTTTTGATGTGCCATTCATCATAATAGTTTGTATGTTCATAATAAAGAAAAAATTGCATTGCAAAAGGTCAAGAGATGTTCCTCCTGATAAATGAAGATTTCAACATTTAAAAGAAGGAGGCTTTAACTTTTTAAAATTTGACTAAATACAAATAGCAAAAAATATTTATAAAACTAAGTCTTTTATTCTCATTCAGTATATGGAGATACAATGATCAGCAAAGTTACTTACATATGTACAGTTTCATGAGAAGTCCTGATCTCCTGAACTCAAGTTTTTCAGGATCTGGTGGTTTATCTGGCAAACAGACAGCTGAGCTGCCAGTTATTTGACTACTCTCCATAGCCTCCCTTATCAGTCTGGCACCAACAATGAGTGTTGCCACAGTCCTGACATAAAGCTCTTCAAAACTTTTCAGAAACAAGTCTGCATAGCACCTTGAAGGTAAAGAGACAACAGAACAGTGTTATTTTGTCCTGTGCTTTAAAAAGGACAGCTTCCTCCTACTTTACCTGATAGGTCTCCAGAAAAGCCATATATTTTTGCTCAGTTCTGAATTTTTCTCCATTTCTAGTTCCCTTTATAATCCATTTTTTTATATTTGATAAAAGCTTAAGGGCACGAATATGTGTGCAGAGCACCAATAACTTTGTTGGTAGAGGTTTGGTTTCATCAAACCCATTATATCACTATATACTCAGTATATTTCTGTGTAGGATGAAGAAGTCATCACCAGCAGAATGAAACCAACCATTTTGGAGA